CGTCCACCTCCCGCGAACACTGCCAGAAATATCCAAATGTGTACTATGAAAATTCGTGGAAGAGTTGAGATCCTGTTTGGGGAAAGGTCGTGTTACGGGTTCTGCATTGCTATAAATAATGAGCTTCAGTTTATCGTGTACCGATGAGAAAACCGGTCAAACACGATAAGCAATTTGCAAATAATTACCTACTAATATTATATAAACGGTATATCTGTAACTGTATCACATAATGACTATTAACTGCATAACTTCATTCAATAACCTCAACTTAAAAAGAATGTTTGGAAGCTCCAAAATACAAAGGAGAAAAAATATTCAACTTTTTCGAAACACGAAGGTTTTTCCCCACTTTGTGACCCTCAGAGTATTTCGAATTTTTCTCCGTGAAAACATGATATTCTTGATCATCGTGAAATTCTTTATCGAATGGTGTATAAGAAAATAAAAAATAAAATAGTGTTCCAACTTTCAAGTAGCCGCGTCTTACATCCAATCGAGTACATAGACATTAGTTGAAAGAAAAGAGAGAAAGAAAAGAAAAAAATACTATCATAGGCGGCCATTTTTGGCAAGCCGGTATTTTAGTGATCCCAATCCCGTAAATCTTTTCCCTCCTGTCCCGATCCTGAACCTCATCCCACGGGATCGAGATGATCCCGCGGGACCTCTACCGAAAAGAGCGCTTAGTTTCCGTTTTGGAGAGGACACTTCAGATTATATACCTATGAAAAAAACTGATAGATTGCTATTTCGGTATCTGAAGATCCGAACTAGTTTTCTAAAAATCTCCTACAAAACCGACCTTCTAAATATTTTGGGGAAAGGATTTTACTTATGAAAACATAGGCAAAACTGTCTTCTTTCGATTGCTGAAAATCTCAGATCTCTATCTGTTATTGTCTTTGAGTTATTCAAAAGGCAACCACTGGCCTTATATTTTTGGGTCAATAATATAGCATAAACGTGGAGAGATCCAGAAAATGCTACCTGGACGCCCTTAAGGTATTGGTACTATACGTTCTTGAGCGTATGATGCATAACCTGGAATCAATAGATAGATGCAATTGTTTGAAACAAGGAATTGATATTTTTCAAGAAAGGTCCCACCAGTGTGTCAAGAAAAGTCTTATTGTGACGAGAGGTATTCTTACTTAAAAATATTTACTATGAGTACAATATTATCCCTTAACACGAAACAGTAGAATGAAAAGGAAAGTCAATAGGTTATATTGATATTCATTTTCAATAGGATCATACTTTAAACTTCTTAAAACTAGTCTATCATGTTCAGTGCTTCTTGCTTGTTCGCTCCAGGATGAATAGAAAACAGAAGAAAAAAAATAAAAATATGATAAGAGCCTACCTTTTTCATTTTCTTACGGTTTTTTTGTAAAAAATAGCATCCTACATTGAGGTTCTGAGGTATGAAACCTTGAATTTATGGTTAACTTTGAACGCTCTATTCAATAACATGATAAAAATGCATGTTAATTTTGGACCACGTTACGCACTTTCTCAACAGGCGCGCGAACCATCGATTAAGGCTTTACGAGAGAGCTTTCAAGTGATTCATTTTGATTCCAATGATATTTCGCTGGTAGTATAATTGACATATTCTATTTCATTTTCTCTAATTATAGGTTTGTCTAGATAAACGGCTTCTAAGTCGTTAAAAAATATTTTTACTGAACTACCATCTATGGCAATATGATGAAAATTAAAGATAATATAATCACCAGTAGTTAATAGGTCTTCACTTTTGTTGGTAGTTTGTTTTATTATATGACATCGAAGAACAATACCTGATTCCAGAACGAAATGTTTTCTACCATTAATTTCTTCGATTAAAATGTTATCGTATTCGGTTTTATTAGTTATATTACTAATTTTTAATGAATAATATTCATCGTCAGTTGGTTGTTTAGACATTGACTTAACCTCTTGTTTTAAGCGTTTTTCTTCTGCAGAAAATTTTATTATCGTGCGTAGTACTGAATGTTTATGAATCACAGCTAAAGTAGCTTTATGTAGCTTTGTTGGATAGACACTGGATTCGTAGCAATTTTAAATACGACAGGCACATTGTACAGTGCTCCAAAAAAGTTTACAGCCTTTTGTTTTTCGTTTATTTTTCAAACGCATTGTTATAGAATCTTGGTTCAAATGGTGATATATATACTTTGAGCAATGCTCTACAAGATGTACGATTCAGAAAATCATTCCGGTGCTTTTAGGATTTTTAAAAATTTAAACACGTTTTTTAGCAAAAATACAGGTTTTCTGATTTCTCGTATTTCGCGTTTCCTAACCAAGAGATTTTCGTCAAAAATTTTTGAATACATATAGTTCGATAGAGAATTTAAAGTGCTATTTTTTGGTAAAAACATATTGGACTTTATCTTGAGTCTTGATATTCAAATACCGGGTTTAAAGGACTTGACCGTGGAAAACCGAGAAAAGACGGTTTTCTCCGTCAATTTAAACTCTATCGAAATGCGATTTTGGGTTTTTCAAATAATTTTTCATTAAAACTAGCTTTTTAATTTTTTTCTTTTAGCCAGTCAGATAGAGGATAAAATTCTGCACAAGAATATGCTTCACTCGATCCTTTTTGTCGCAAGGTCTAGGAGAAAAAAAATCAAAAACCTTTAGCCAAAACAAGGTGACTCATCTTTTCTTAGCGTATTTTCGCTCTTTTTAGTATTTCACTTATAACTCCGTCTAGGAATGAGATAGGAAGTCGGAAAATGTTTCATTTTGATCAGAATTCAATGGAAAATACGACCTTGTTATTCAGATGTTGAAAAGGCGAAGTACTGATTTTGAACGTCGC